CTAAACCTCAAGTCCTCATCTCCAAAATGAGACTGAAAGAGTCCATCTTGATGTGACTGTAGAAACAAGTCGAGCAAGGTGTGCTATCTTCCCCGTAGTGATTGCTCAGTAAATGTTAGCTTTGAGTATTATCTTCTTTAATTTCTAGGTATACTATTATTTATACTTAAATGTCAGTGGAATAGTACAAATGTTGTCCTTATGCTGTAAGAAAATTTTCTTCAATACTTTTTATTCAGATCTGGTAGCACTGGTATTCAAGTGTCCTAGAGATTAGAAGAAAAATGTGTCTGCTTTTACTATGTTCCAGAAAATGTTAGATGCTCAGTATTAGAAGGAGCTTCAGGGTCCTAGCAATAAAAAAAAAAAAATCAATAATGGATCATCCCCAACCATATCTTAACAAGAGCTCATTCACACATCTGACAAAGAATGATCAAAGTACCTCATTGATAAAAGGATACGTAAAGACCTGGAGAAGAAAAGACCTATGTAGAAGAAACAGCATGTGTAACAAGAGGCATCAGTTCCGATGGGGCTATACAGCACACTGTAAAGGAAACAGAACTGCTTGGAGTGGTGGCTCATGACTTTATTCACAGCAGTTCAAGGCAGAGGTTGAGGGATCGTGGTTAAGAGACTGACTTAGGCACAGTTATTGTGAGATGTTATCTGAAACACAAACTAAATTTAAAAAGGGGTGGGTGTAGCCTACGTGGTAGAATGGTGGTCTAGAAAGTGCAAGGCGCCCTAAGTTCAATGTGCAAAACCACACACAGAAAAAAGAACTCTAGTAATTACATGAGGTTCTTTACTGCCAATCATCCTGATTTTTTTTTTTTTGAGCTCCTGGGATTGGCCATGAGGATTCCTGTCAGGTGTAGGGCTTCCTGGGGTCTGTGTCTTTCCAGCAGTGCAAATATCAACAATGCAAGCTCTTCGCTCTTTGGGAGTGCTTTACTTTTAGGTCATTCATCTCTTTGCTGAAGTAATTAGCTTCCAGTGGGAACGATTGGCTGGCCAGTCTCACTACTTTGCCTTCTCAGATAATGAATAAAGTTAGCCTTTCAAGTTCAAGGGGTTCGATGCTGTCTTTTTTAAAAATAATCTGAAGAAAATTCTATGTGATGACTGAGCATTTGTGATAAACCCTTAGCCAGTTTAGTCGAATCATTTTAGTCTCATTAATGCACATATCATTTCCCCGCTTCTCACTTCGTTATTTCCTTACTTAGAAAACTCAAGTGGTTCCAAGCTCGCGCGTCCCAAGATGACAGTCACCTTAACTTGCCTTGAAGACCTTATATTTGGAACTGGGCGCAACTCCCGATTCTATTGCTTAATGTTCTCCAAAAAAATTTACCTTGAGCTCCAGAGACCACTGTCTGTCAAACACCTTCCAACACCACTGCTCTGGTCATTAACCCTGCCTGCTCTGAAATTCAATTTCCAGATTAATCTTCCTAAAAATCAACTCCAATCAGACCATTTCTTTCCTCTGAAACAAGTTTTTACACTCTATTGCCTAGTGATGTAATTCCAGACTCCTCTCTTGGCAGCTCCTGTAGCTAACGCAGTAGCTCGGACTCATTTTGCTCATTCTATACAGTTCACAGAACAATCTCCTTCTATTAGCAATGCTGTCAGTGCCTTCAGTGATCTTCAAGGAGTAGTACAGGCACAACACATGGGGCCAACAACCAATCACTAGTGTGTAAACAATCACCGATGGTGTTTACTGTTTCCCAGATCTTTTTATTTATTTGGTTTTTTTTTTTTTTGGTCGCAATACTAAGGCTTGACTTCAGGACCTTGCCATTCTCTCTTGGCTGTTTTACTCAAGGCCAGCACTCTAGCCCTTGAGCCATAGCTCCATTTCCAGCAGATAAGCATCATAGACTTTTCTGCCCCAGCTGACTTGCAAGTGTGATCTTTAGATCTCAGCATTCTATTACCTAGAATGATAAGCATGAGCCGGTAGCACTAGCTGTGCCAGGCATGTTTTAAACGCTTTCCCAGTATAAATGAACCAAATTCGCCGAACAGTCTTACAAGGCGTTATTATTGTACTATTTCATAGTTGAAAATACCAAGGCACAGAGTCGAAGACACATGGTTAATAGATAGCAGTGCTGGAATATACTCTCAGGGAGTCTGGGTCTCCTAAGTCTAAGCCTCTAAATGCTCTGGAATTCTGCTTTTCTTTGAAATAGTACTACTCACCACCTATTCCCCTCTTCCTCAGCACTGGAGGCTGAGGAATTGCGTGCATAAACACTTTTCAACAAGGTCCAAATCAGATCCGCTTTTATTTGGAACATTGCCTCAGTCAGCCACCCTCCAAACACTTGAGGAGTACATCCCTCCATCATACAGAAAGATTTTCACACTCATAACCATTACACTCCAAAATGGCTCTCCTACCTGCCCAGTGTTGCGGGTAGTCCCTCTCTTCTCACTTATTTTAGTTCTTTGTGTAGCACTTTCAAAGCTTTGTTTTCTTTCCTGTGAAATCAAGATAACCTACTTATTTTACAAGAGGTTTATAAGGATGAAAGCAAGCACACTTTAATTGGGCTAAAATATTTTTAAAACATCATCTATGGCAAAGGATAGGTACAGAAAATATGTCAGGTTGTTCTTCCCCAGGTAAACACTTTACTGAAGGGACTGGAATCCTGGCCTCCGTGTGGATCGTCTAGGCACTAAATCTGAGAGCTCATAGCACTTGTCTGGGGCGCTGTCCGCTCAGGCCATGAAGCCACACACAAAGTATTATCCCTAGGGGAATTAGGGCTATGAGCCTGACAAATGTCCGTGCATTTGTGAAGAAACAAGATTGGTCAATACTAGCCGGAGAAAGCTTTTCTGTACCCTAGGAGTCTTCCAAAGGTAATCAGAAAGATGAAAATAAATTCAGGCCTAGTGACCTGACCTGCCTTTGAAGGTTTGTCAGTGATGTTTCGGGGAGCCAGCTAAAGTCATCTCCCTGATCTTCTTCTCACTCACTGGCCCCAGTTGAGAACCTAACTCCATAACTGAGGTTGCAGGTGGGGACTGAAGTGGTCCCAGCTGGGGGGGTGGGGGGAGTGGAGGCAGCAGAGGCTGGGAACAGCCAAGATTTGAAGTGCACATCACTGCCATTTTTACTCATCTAAAAGCTCTGAAGCATTCTTTGTCTGAAAAGACATGGAAGGGAAAGATTCAAAAACATGAGGCTGGCAAGGAAACACAGCAACAATGTGACTTATGGTTGACAAGGTACACGGTAGAACATATTTGCTTGAGTGCAATCATTTCTTCCTCCTAATTTCTTACCGTTTCTGATTTCTCTCTCTCCAAACTCTGCTCCTTAGTCTCCTGAATATTGTTTCTGCCATCAAGCTTTTTAGTATGTGTGTGTGTGTGTGTGTGTGTGTGTGTGTATGTGTGTATATATATATTGTTAAATATTCTTAACTAAATGTAATTTTAAAAAGGAAGGAAGTCAGTCCAAATCAATGACAAGCTGGAGAAATAAGCAATCTTTAAGGAAATGAAGTTTTATTACTCATAGGGATGTTTTGGAACTATTGAAAGCAGTATAAAGCTACATGGCTCAGGAAATGGATGCCTGTCTTAACTCCAACATAAGCACAAATTGTAAATTTACAACTTGATAGAGGACATTTCCAGGTCCTTGCAAAAGACCTTCTGTCTAAATAATTCACATTTCTTTACAAGTTGCTTAGCGAACTTATTTTTATTGGAACATTGAGGATATTGGGGCATAAAAGCAAATCTTAGTTATACAGAATTTGGTGCTAATGAGGTCAGGACCACACACTAAATCTCCACAGCTGTCAGTTTTCTCTTGTGTTCCTGTGGCTACAAGTGTGCGAATTGCAATCACTATGCCTTGGTAGCTTCATGAGAAGGATGTCGTAGATACATCTCGCCAGGTCCTTTTCACATGCCGGAAAATCACTTCATTTTCATCTGCTACATACTCGTGGTCAGTAACTTCATCTATTTTGTGAAAAGTCAGTTCTCTTAATAAGGGTAGTTTAGTACTACCATTGCAAATTTGGCAATTTATTTGTTATTTCCACTTTCTGCTATATGATAACATTTTAAAAAAGAGTTTACTAGAAGGGAAATTTCTATTTTTATTTAACATGTATGTGTTGAATCCTACTTGATAAAGCTAATAATACTGTGTGAGCTAATAGAATTATCTCTCTTTGGAATCTGAAGGGAAAATAACGATCCATTCTGTAATGAGTGATTTTTGCAAACTTCTCATCTCAACTCAAAGAATGCTTTTCTCTTTGATTAAAATGCATTTTTTAATTAAATTAAAATGTGAAAATAGACAGTTTTGCATTTATGGTTATAATAGAATTATTTAAAGAAAGTTTTAAATCAGCCTACTATTAATATTTCATATTGGAACTTGGTTTTATTGTTGGACTGGCGCAGCCATATTCCATTTTCAAGATTACTTAAAGTGCTGTGGAAACTTAATGACACTTCCAAGGTTTTATCACATTTTACCCAGCCTTCTCTAAGAAGCTAATTGATGCCAGTGATTTTGGAGAAATATCAAGAACAAAAGCAACAGTTATGGGCAATTTATTGTTTATTTTAAAGTAATATTTCATTTTGCAGAATTGGGGCAACTCTGAAAGAGTACAATAATCAATTATAAACTCAAAGAAAAGGTAATATAAGTATACTTTAGGAAAGCAATTTACAATAGACAAAATAAAATTAAGGTTCACTACTTTTATTCTGGTAAGAATGTAAAATATTTTCATTTGATATACCTATATTCTATAGCTACATAGGTTTTTTTCAAGCTTTCAGATTTCTACTAATTGCTGTGAACACAATTACGATAGTTTCTTTCTCTGTTGCTGCATTGCTGATATCTACCACTTGACACTTCGGTTAGAATCATTTTAAAGTAAAATCTTCTGACGTAAATTCTCATTTTTTTGCTTTTTGTTTTTTTTTAGTGATCTCAGTGAGAATCAAATTCAGGCCATTCCAAGGAAGGCTTTCCGAGGGGCAGTTGACATTAAAAATTTGTAAGTATACATACTTTTTCTTCCATTTTTGATAGTTTTAAATTATATCTTTTAAAAGTTAATTTTATATTTTTTCAAAAATACCAAGAGAAATGTGGTAAATATTTGTGTTTGACTTGCTTCTAAGACATTGTAATAGTATTATATATATATATATATATATATATATATATATATGTTTGACATTTGAAAAGAATCTTATTTTAGAAGAATCTGGAAACCATTTTTTTTTACCAAATTTATTCTTTTTTTTAAATTTTTTTATTGTGAAAATACTGTACAGAGGGGTTACAATTACATGGGCAAGATAAGATAATGAGTACATTTCTTATCAAGCATTGTAGCCTCCTCCTTTGTTTCTCCTTACTATCCCCTTCCATCCTCCCCTCGCCCCCCTCCCCAATCTTCCCCGCTCCCCCCCCCCGCCCGCACCAAAGTTATAAAGTTCATTTTTCAACATAATGACTTGTACATCTCATTGTTGCAATGGGTCCACCTGTATCCCTATTTAAACGATTTGTTTTTCCCCTTCCCCTCCACAAATTATACCGACATCAAATACAGTGAAAGCAAGGGTTACACCATGGGGGAGGGACATACAAAGCAACAAAGAAATCATCTTATAAATGTGTTAGAAACAATCGCATGAAAGAAAAAAAAACATTTGAATACATATAAAGCTGTGATTAATCTTTAGAAATCAATGGCACCATTTTTGAAAAGCTGTTTTTGATACATTTCTCTTCCCCTATGCTGGTTGGTTTCAGTTACTCCCTTTTCTGATTCTGTTGGTTCTTATTGGAAGTGCAGAATATGAATAATTGTTCTAGAAAGTCTAGATAATGTTTTTTTGTTATAGATACCTAAAACAAATCATTTCAGGTTTTGAGTTTTCTTTTAAGAGCTTTTAGGTCAACATTTTTAATAAATACCTAGATCCTGTTCCAGTAGGGTTTTTTTCCATATCTTTTTCCCTCCCATTTCCTGGAAGAAGATGTGTTTATCTTCTGATTAAAAAGAAAATAGAGTACATTGTTTATTGTTCATTGATAAATATTTATCTGTTTTCTTGTGTTAGAAGTATCTTTTGAATGCCTATAGCTCTTCAGCTACCCATAGAATTTGGGTTCTCAATGACAGTCCTCACATTGTCAAAACCTGTCTTTACAGATGTTAATATCGCACAGTAATCTTTAAAGATTGCTGTCTTCAGTGAACTCTGAACATTAGGACATAATTTTTTTCCCTTAGCTTTTGCAATAATAGTGGATATAAAGAAAGAAAAGCTCCTGTCTGCTGAAGTGATCACAACCCAATCATTCTTAGCTAGTAATAAAAACACAGCCAGTACTTCTTGAAGAATTAACTTATATTCAAGACTTCTCCATCGTGGAATCCAGTGCTCTTTCTTCTAGTAGTGAAAGTGAGACAGCTGCTTTCCCTGCCAATGAAGACTTGTGTTTATAAAGCCACAGATGTCAGCCTTTACATCTTCTCTTCCGTATAAACGGGCTTTGTACTAAGCATCTATTTTCGAAATATACAGATTAAAACAGAAAACTGCAGGCTTATAAGTATAAATGTGTAAGTGGCTAGACCATGGGGCCATTAAAATTTTGACCCTAGGATTTTATGAGCACTCAAGTTAAAAGGATTTTTTTCTTCAATAGCTAGGACGTGAAAAACTCTGAAGATAGAATCAGGCTAGCCAAATCTGTCACTTTATATTTTATCTAACTACAGTGGCATAAAATTGTTCCATCACACCTACCCACATTGCTTTTATGTTTTTATAAGAACTATAACAATGACTATAGGTAAGTACTCCTTAGAAATTTCATTTGCAATTATCTCTAAGTTTTTAAAACAAGTAATATTCAACTTTTTTTAGGTCAGCTGTTCAGATATTCCCAAGTGTATAAAAAGCACTTCCTCCATATTGAAGGATTTATTTGAGGGGAAAGATCAGTTGTGAGGGATTTGTCCCTATTTATTCTTCATTTAAAATTTAAAACAAGTTTAGAGATTAAAGTGAGATGAGAGCCAATTGCTCTAAGAAGTGTATTTTTAAATGGTTTATTTCCTCTGAGGCACAGAGTCTCCCAATTTAAAGAATGTTATGATGTACACCAGGAGATGAGTTTGACGTTGCATTCTCCAAATGCTTTTGTTACATTTTGTGTTTAGATATAAGCAGTCAACTTCATTAAGCCTCGTTATTCAATTTTATAAAATGAATATAACAGTTGTTTCAATTTGTTGTGATTGTTCAGGAAATGAAAGACCTTTCAAAATAGTAAAATATTGTGACAATATAGTATTTCATTCTGTAATATTTAACTAGTCAATGCCTGGAAATTATTCCTAAAAATGTGTACAAAAAGAGGATTCATTAGACTCTAATGAATAAATAATAATATTTGTTCTATTATGAATCAATTTGACCTAGAACTACAACACAGGAAAAACACACTAGATATTGCAATATATGCATATATAAGACCATTAATTTTAGACAAGACATTAAATAGTATAGGGATTGAAGGGGGAGAAAAGTTCAGAGTATTGCTTGTTGTTATCATGGAATGCTTGGGGAAAGAAAATGAAAATAAATATAGGAAAGAACCTAAGAAGGTTGGTTGTTATGTACATGTAGATAAGAATGAGTTGAGAAAGTTAAGATTTATTAAGGAGGTTATCTGAGGCCACATTTCAGGATTTTGGATGGGTAGAAAGATTCAACACAAACTATAGAGGAGTGTGTGTAACAAATTGAAAATATATGTGTATATATATATATATATATATATATATATATATATATATATTAAACAAAGCACTATGAATCCTAAGAAGCATTTGGAGGAAATTTTATAGAGTATAATTTATATAATACTTCGGAGACTTGCATTTCCATGGACAAATGGGGTTAGGAATCTGTATGGATGCTGAATAAAGAAAGTGAGCAAAATATACCATTTATTGCTCCTATTCTCATTGTGTCCATCCAACTGTATGAGAGGCAACATAGCAATACCACACCATAACAGCTTTAACTAAGTAGGCTAAAGAACTAGACTACTATGGCATTTTGCATTTAAAATTGATGTTATATGATTAAAAATAGTGAGAAGATGAGATTGATTGGAATATATTGTAAAAGATATTGAAATATAACAATGAAACCTTCCTTTGTATTCTAAATTAATAAAAATGCTATATCATTAAAAATAGTTCTTATCCCATGAGGCTTGCCATACCTTTCAGCCTTATAAAACAAAACTATACATATATATATAGAGAGAGAGAAAATCTGAGAGTAAATTTTAATTCACACATTATTATTATTATTATTATTATTATACACGTGACTGTAAATTGACAAGCAATGACTGGGTAAAACACCATTCGGACAGAAAAATTTCATGAGGTTTCATTTTCCAAAACATGTAAATGCTGGACTGGAGGCATGGCTTACGTGGTTGGGCAACAGTGCTAAGCAAGCCAGCCTACTCAGTGCTAGGCACTGAGTTCCAATTCCAATACCATGCCACCCCAAAATACCACTGATTGTAGTAACACTACTCTGCAGTGGGGAAAAAAAAAAGAGAGGATCTATGCTCTATTTATCAGCCTAGCATGGAAATTAGAAAGTTGGCTAGAACTGCAGTGTGTGCTGATAACTACTATACAGTTATTCAGAGATAAGATGAGAAAATACACCCAGGACATATTTAGTATCACACTGACTTAAAGCCCAGTCCTGTGTGCTCTAGCAGGTTTCTTGGATTTGCCACATTCAGGCCTTCTCAGTAAATTCCAGTTTCCACAAACTTTCCAATGAGAGAACTCACTTTTGTCTTGTAGACTGGCTAAATATGCTCAGGGCAGCATCATTGCCATCTGAAATTGATGCAGTGGAAATCTTGCCGATTAGCAGATTTTATCCCCCTTCCCCCAAGCAAGCCACACTAAAACTATTCTCGACAGATGGGCATTTATCTTGCTCTTAAGTATCTCCAGGGAGAATTTCCCAAAGAGGTTTTTCCTTTGCTTATCTATTTATTTCATAGTTGAGTTCAAACCTTTTTAGATTTTATTTTATTATGCTACTTCTTTTTTATTTCAATCGCAAATTAAACTATTTAGCATTTTAGACAGTGAGGTATGAGAAGAAATAAAATCATATTACGATCCCAACAAAATGATGGTGCCTTCCCTAGTTTCTTCTGTACCATTTACCTCTCTCACTTTAGAGTCAGATACAAAATACGAGCTACCTATACCTTATCATTACCCAATTATGCTTCATCTAAAGGTAGACAAAACCATATAGAAAGCTTGTCGTTAAAACTTTATATATGTAATCAAAAGATATAAAACCCACAGGGTAACGATTTTGCTGCCTTCTAATCAAATGGTGAAAACAAACATTATAATGTTCTCCTTCATATTTTCAAGTATCTGTTAGGTGCTTCCATTTGCTCACTGAGGAGAAGATTCACATTAAATTTTGCTTTATAGCTGAAACTTCTGAGCTTGTTCTCAAAGTGTATGCTTTATTAGTAAGGTAATATTTTAGAGCCTCTTGTTTTTATGAGAAAACATTGTCTGCTGTACTTACTCCTGGATATAAGAAGAAACTAATACCAATACTTGAAACTAATACTTGAAAATTGAATAGGTTGCTAGTTTTTATTCATATTGTAAAACAAACTCTATTTTTAGTTTTCTCTGGTGAGTTCAGTATGAGGACTTTAAATAATTGAATTACAATAAGAATGTATTATTATTGTTATTATTTTAGATGTACCCTCTAAATTAAGCCAAGACTGCTTTTGACTTCTTCTTTTATTATAAAAATGTTGTACAGAGGGGTAACAGTTACATGAGTAGGGTAATCAGTACATTTCATAGCGAGCATTGTTACCTCTTCCTTTATTTTACCCCTACCATCACTTCCCTCTCCACCTCCCCAACTCGTCCCGCCCCCATCCTGA